ATGAAATGTGTTCTTGTCTAAAGTTGTCTACTAAACATGAAATATGTTGTTATACAGAGTTGACAATTGGACATAAAATATGTTCTTGTCTAGAGTTGTCTACTAAACATGAAATATGTTGTTATACAGAGTTGACAATTGGACATAAAATATGTTGTTGTCCACTGGGTATGAAATGTGTTGTTATACAGAGTTGACAATTGGACATAAAATATGTTGTTGTCCACTGGGTATGAAATGTGTTGTTGTCTAAAGTTGTCTACTAAACATGAAATATGTTGTTGTCCACTGGGTATGAAATGTGTTGTTGTCTAAAGTTGTCTACTAAACATGAAATATGTTGTTGTCCACTGGGTATGAAATGTGTTGTTGTCTAGAGTTGTCTGCTGAACATGAAATATGTTGTTATACAGAGTTGACAATTGGACATAAAACATGTTCTTGTCTAGAGTTGTCTACTAAACATGGAATATGTTCTTGTCCAGAGTTGACAATTGGACATAAAACATGTTCTTGCCTAGAGTTGTCTACTAAACATGAAATATGTTGTTATACAGAGTTGTCCACTGAACATGAAATATGTTGTTGCCCACTAGACGAACGTTCTTGCCCAGAGATGTACATTGGACATAAAGGATTGCTGATGTTGAGAATAATGAAACAATTTCATGTTTTTCCAGAACTTTATAACTTTACCAGTTTTGGAACTTCTATGATTATTATACACAATTAATTTTATATATATATTTATTTTCACATCATGAAAAGTGACCGTAAAATTGTACTGCAAATATAAGTTTGCATTTGGCTAGTTGATTTGAGAGTAAAACAGTACGTCTACTTCAAATAAATTACAGAAGAAACAAAATAATTACTTATTACTGAGTTAACTGGCTTTGATTAGAAGTTGATATTAATGATTTCAATTATCTGTGTGTGTGTGGAAATTAACTAAGTGTAAATTTTTTAATTTGATGTTTGTACTTTTAGCATAGATGTGTTAAGATGTTTTTTGCTAGTTTTGTTTGGTAAACTATAAGTTTCTATTATGTATATATTTGCTGTGTGTTATTTAAAAAATGTATTTGGATAAAACGATATAAAATATAATACGATGTAAATTAATGTTTCAGAAAGAGGACAGGTTAGATGAGCTAAGAGGTTACACGGAGAAACATCGGTACCATATCAAGCAGTTAGAAACAATAATGAGAATGGTAGACAACAGCACTATCAACGTGGATCAGGTCAAGAAGATTAAGGACGATGTAGAGTACTACATCGAGTCCTGTCAAGAACCCGATTTTGAAGACAATGAGTTTATCTATTCGGATCTCAGTCTGGAAGATATTCAAGAGTACTTAACAAAAAGTAGACATCTTTCATTTTGTTGTTTGCACTTTAAAGATCTAATAGCTGCTATATTGTTTTATTTCATTTCTTGTTTTTGGTTTAAAAGTAAAATTGTTCATACTACTAAAGCTTAGTTCAAAAGAACTGTCTTAACTAATGTATATTCATAATGTCAGAAAAATATGTAGGTTAAGGAAGTCTTAAAATAAAACGATAAAACCCGAGCACTTTCGAAAGGTGGACCTTTCTTCTTCAGGGGTAAACTGGGAATGGTGATGTAACTGAACGAGTGATATATATATATATAAAGAAAGTTGAGTGACGTGGACTTCCAGGAAGTGTTTTTTTTTTATATATTTTTAATGTACTGTTGTTAAGTTGTCTCAGTTCTGGTGCATCATGCTGGAAACGAGAGCATTATGCTAAATGGTGTTTTATTTTATAAATGGTCAAGAAAAACTATTCTTAAGTGTTGTTAAAGTACAGTAAAGGTGACACTTGGAGATTGAGTGAGAAGAAAACGTTAAGCAGATCAATTTATAAAGACAGGCATGAAAAATTATCATAAACATATAGTAAATATTAGACAGATTAGGGTTAAATGTTGACACTACATTAAAAATTATTTTTCTGACAGAGAACAAACCAATGATTGGAGATAATCAATTCCAAGATCCAAACTTAGTCCACTAGGTTTAACAGTATTTAGATTATCATTAAAAGTATACAAAAACACTTCCTGGAAGCCCAT